GGGAACAGAAACAGTTGCGGCGGTATGGAAAACATTGTTGCAATTCTTTGCAAACAGATCTACAACAACGTTAATGAATCTTCATTACAAGCTTCATTCGTTGAAGAAACGCGATGACAGCATGCACACATATCTTACACCAGTGAAAGAGGTATGTGATACACTTGCTTCTTGTGGGAGTGCTATCTCTCATGTTGAGAATATTATTACAATCTTGAAAGGTTTACCATGTGAATATCAGCCATTCATGACAGTTATAACAACCATGAAGGAAACATTATCTCTAGATACCATTTACATGATGTTAATGGATGTTGAGTTACAGTTGGCTGGATTTGATGAACAAAATGATCTGTTGTCGGTTAGTGCTAATCTTGCTCAGGGTAGTGTGGGTCGTAGATCCTAAAATACTTGTAACACCCATAACCCGTATTCGGCCCGTATACGAATCTAAGGCATCACATTGACTTTTAAAACACTTCGACTCTTTAAAAGTCCGATTTAAATTTGATAATGAAAACAAAACTTAATAAATCATACTTAAAATACATATCAGAGTATCTAAACTTTACATTTATAGTACATGCCAACAACATTTCCATACTCAATCACATACAATTTAAATCTTTCTGATCTGATAATCTTCAAAGGTATGATGTACTGGCCCTTGCTTACATGTATTACTCCTCGCATATCTTTGAACCTACATGTGAAAACACTCACACACTAAGTTGATGACTTAGTGAGACATTATGAGTACTATGAAACAATAAAGCATTTGTATACTTTTATAAAAGAAGGGTTAAATTATCAAAAATCACCAGTATTATAACTTATTACCTCTCTTATTAATCACTGAAGAGTTTATACTTATGTATTCTTGGTTATATCTTCAAGTCACTACTCATATAGACTTTTAATTTCATATAAACTACATATAACTGATACATTTTTCATTTCATATCCATTTGTTTATTGGCCCAACGTATAATAATGGAAACTCTAGGTATTTGAGTACATTAAATTTGTGCACTAATGTTGTCACCACAGCTTGTAATTTGCATCGAAGTGCCACATAACTGTCCCGAAGGACCACATAGGTTTGCACCGAAGTGTTACATAGGTTTGCACTGAAGTGCCATATAATTATCCCGAAGGACCACATAAAACCCTCGACTCTTGGATGCCAACTATATCTCTAATTCTCATACATATACCTTGGGCTTTAACTTTGGCATTAGTTTACATTTCACTATTTAAAGTATGTCTTATTTCCACGGAGTACATTCTCTTAGTCTAATTCCAGCACAAGTACATTGGTGATTAGTTTATTAGGCAAATAAAACAAGAATTTCTAAACTTGAAATAAGGAGATTATACGATGTATGAATATGAATGTGAATTTAATAAGCTAAGTCGTTTCGTTGCTAAGCTTATCTCGACTGAAAAGGATGTTTGTGATTGGTTTGTGGAGGGCTTGCGCCCTAGGCTAAAAGAGTTATTGCTAGATTTATATTTGTCATCATTTCAAGAGGTGGTTAATCGAGCTAAAGCTCTAGAGAGAGCTTAGAATGAGAGGTTTAGAGAGCAAAAAGTTCAAAAGTCTAAGAGAGCTGATACTTCATCGAGTTCATCACCGTCAAAGAGAAGTAGAGATTTTGATTTTCAAACTCATACTATGTTTGAATCAGCTGCATCTTCTACTAAAAGATCAAATATAAGTCAATCAAGAAAATTTTCACATTGTGGAAAGAATCATACCTGAGTATGTCGAGTGTTTTCAGGAGCCTGTTTTAGATGTGGTGATGTTGGACATTTTATTCGAGATTGTCCATTCATGACTGATGAGACTGTACAGAGAGAGTGATCTGTTACGATATCTCAGATAAGTAGAGGCAGAGGTCATGGAAGAAATCAGTCTGAGTCATCCACTCAATATGATATGCATCTAATTGCACGAATTTATAATTTAAAGACCGATGAAGATTTCGAGGATCCATATATTATTGCATGTAAATTTCAATAATGTGGTAAAGTAGTTTTGGTTTAATAGATTTGGGATCAACATAGTTATATGCTAGTGGAAACTAGAATGAGGATTGAAAGATTTGATTTGAAACGATAAGTAATGAGCTGATAGAGATTAATTAGTAGGGCATGGTTCATTGATGAATAAGTTGTGTTGAGTTTGTGTGTAGTATAAGAAATTATTCTAAGAAATATAAAAAGTTTAGATGGTTATTAAAGAGTAGAAGTTTAAAACTAGATTTTGTGCAAGTAATGACAACTATCAAGGTTATATGTATTGAGTTTCGAATTAGGACTATATATGAGTATAAGGTTAGTAGTAAGAGTAATCTAAGATTCGTTGAGTATTATATAAGAGGATTGCTCCATCTCGTTGTGAAGTGAAAATTTAAGGACGAATTTTCCTAAAAGGGGGGGAGATTTGCAACATCCCAAAATCAGGACTAGTGCTAAAATAAAAGTTTTTGAATTTTGATTATTAATTTAGGAAAATTTGAAAAGGTCAGGGATTTAAAGTGGAATATCTGGGTACTGGATTAAATAGTAAAGATGGAAAGAATGAAGGGTAATATGGTCTTTTCATTTAAAGGATATTTATCTCCTTATTAAGAGATAAGCACGTGGGGTTGAGAGAGTTATATGGAAACTTATTTTCTCTGGTCTTCTTCTTCCCATTAGCTCCATCTCAAAGATAAGTTAAGTTCTAGCTGGTCATTTCTTGGATTTTTAAGTTGATTTTTGTTCTTTGGGTGTTATATAAGCTTAAGGAAAGCTTATATAAGATTAAAACATCAAGAGAAGAGAATTAGAAAGGAAATTGTAATAAGGGTGTAGAAGTGAATTGTTAATATGATATAGTTTTTGAAGTTTTGTTGATAAATTTGACTTGTCATAGGAAGGATTAAGAAGTATAAAGTATTAGAAATGAGTTTAGAACACATTGAAAGTTTAGTGAAATTCTTAAATTCAAGAGTTATAGTGAGATATTGAAGATGATGAGGTATTATAGTGCTAAAAGATGGTTTAAGTATGTATAGTTGAGCTTAAAGGCATGAAGAGAGTTAAATAAGTAGAGTTTAGGTTAAGTGGTGGTAATTTCAGGTTAAAGAAATATATTTTGGGTTAGTAGTATCAGTACTGATTGAGTAAGTACCGATACTACAATGCAAATTATGTGATATTTATGCGTAGGGTATCGATAGTGCATGGACAATATCAATACCATAAGGCAGAAATGGGATAAATTTTCATAGGGTATCGATACTGAAGGGATAGTATCAGTACCATGGGTATCGATACCAATATGGAGGTATCGATATCATTCTTGTAAGAAAATTATAGAATCGAGATTGGGTATCGATATCGTGAAGGGTATCGATACTACAAGCATTTAGGTATCGGTACTGTGCTTGTAGTACCGATACTACTTGAGTTGGAAATTTGAAATTAGTGTTTTATTTAGTTTGCATTGGTAAGAATCTTTTCGAGTAATTCAAATCCCGATACTCATTGGATTGTATATTCGTGTAGACATTGATCGAAAACAAAGTTCGGACAGGCCGTCAGAGTAAGACTTACGAGAGAGAGATAAGAGATTGGTATTGGCAAGTGAGACCAAGGTGAGTACATAATATTAAGCATAGGTTATGTTAGGGAATTAAGACTTGTGATGAGTCTAATTCCGATATTAGATCATATGAGTATCCGAATAAAAGCATGTAGTGATATAATGTTTATGTGTACATGAGTATAGGTATATGATTAAATGATAAATGCATTTCTATATGTGATCTATGTGAATGCATATATTAATGATAAATTATGTGACTATGAGCTAAGTGTGATAATAAATTATATTATTATATGATCATAACAGATAAGACATATTACAAGAGATATGTGAAAGAGATATATGTAAATATATGTCTATATGAATACAAGAATATGTGATATGGTATATATGATAATGAGATATGAGACTCTACGAGAATATTACATGATATATGTGATATGAAGCTATGAGCTTGTATGCCTATGTGATATGAAGCTATGAGCTTATATGCCTATGTGATATGAATGTGTATATGTGACAAACATAAATGATAATGCCCGTGTTATGTGATATGAGAGCTAGGGGTATAGTTGGCATGCCAAGAGTCGAGGGTTTTATGTGGTCCTTCAGGATATATATATAATCCTTTGAACATATATGCAGTTCTTCGGGACATATATTTAATATTTTCGGTTAATTCATACAGTTAATTCGGTCGATTAATTCTGTTAAAACCGAAATTTAAACACTCCTTAAAAAATTCGATTAATTAATTGATTTTGAACCGAATTAACCAATAACTGAAGTTTGAAAAAATATTAATTGTTAACCGATAGAACCTAAAACCGACCGGTTAACCAAAAAAAATCAGTTCGATCGATTTAATCGGTTAGCCGAAATTTTGAATACCCCTAGATTCAAATCCTTCAACATATATGGACACAACCCCGCAGACCAAAAAAAACCAAAATAGGGGGGAAACAATAAGAAGAATCCAAATCAACAGAAACCAGAACCATGGACCAAAGATGGATGCAAAAGAGACCATAAAGTTGAAACATGCATGCATACATACAAACATGTAATCCATTCTTTATTTATGATTCTGGCTATACATGAAAAGACCAAATGCTTCGTTTTTATTGTCTTAGAGAGAGCTGTTTCATATCCTGAAATGCAGCAGTGCAGAGTTTCCATCAAGGCCTTTGTTTTGGAAGTGAGTCATATATTCCATCACAGTAGTTTCCCTGTACTTGGGAGGATTATCTTCCGTCAACAACTCCTTAATCGGTCCATACAATCTCGGGTTCGGATGAAAACCCGTGATGAAAAAGCTCGCCACCGACACTCGAGGTCCAACCGAATTTGCCAGCACCCGATGCTCCACGCTCACGTGACTGTCGTTCGATATAAGCTGCAACAAAAAATCAATCAGTCACATAGTTATGAATCTAGTTGATCAATGTAATTCTCATAGGACTTTGCCTGTAAAAGGTCTCCGATGTTAACGACCAAAGCCCCAGGGACTGGAGGTACATCGATCCACTGATTTTCATGAAGAACTTGGAGACCACCAATATGGTCTTGTAGAAGCACCGTGATGAAGGTGCTATCAGCATGCTTGCTTGTCCCGATTGTCAATTCCGGCTGCGGACATGCCGGATAGTAATGGCACAGATGACCGAGACCCTTGGCGCAGTCTAGCTTCAGCAGATGATCAGGATTCAACCCCAGAGCCTCTGATATCAATTCGAAGAGCAAATGACCCAAACTCATCACTCCATCTGTGTACTCGAACATAATATCCCTATGCCAAAATTCATACATTTATCACTTTATCATTATATATGTGTGTATATATATATATACCTGAATGGTTCAGGCAACTACTCCGGCCTAGGATGATCAGGGGTCATTTTGCAGTAAACAGTGTCCCTCCAGTTAGCTGCAGGGGCAGTAAGGAGATCGAAATTGGAATTATGGACAACTTTTTTCGTATTACCACGAGTGTAGTACTGTTTTTTGAGCTCAACGTCTTGCTCGAAAAACCAACGTACACGAACCTTCATCTCCTCGAGAATACTCACAGGAATTCCACGGTTAATGATCTGAAAGAAACCCCATTCCTTCGATGCAGTACGGACATGTTCGACGACCGATTTCCGAGTACTACGATCCCCCTGCACTCCTTGAAGATCTATAACAGGGATACTGAACTGGTAGGCGCTTGGAACATAGGTTTCCCCGAAGGTATCAGGTGGCCGATGAAACATTCGGAGAACCTCCGAAACTCCGGATCTACAAGCCCTTTGACACCGGCTTTTGTCTCGTCGAAAGCTTTGATTTCACTCGCTCGATCGTATTTCTGTTCGAACTGGGCTTCACCTGCCTTGGCTACCCCCATTTTTTGTTCTCTCTTGTGTTCGATTGTAACCTCTTTGGAGAAACAATCATGATGAATGACAATCAAGGAAATTAAAATAAATATAGTGGGGGAAGTGAAAGGATAGCAACAAAACAGGTGATGGTGACGAGATATTATAAACAAAGAAAATCGTATTTATTTAATTATTGAAACATGACATAAATTTCAACGTTGGACCAAAATTTCCACAAGTGATATAGAAGGAGAAATCAAATTGAAAGTCTAATCACATTTTATATTTTATGTATATAATCAAATACATGCATGTATACATACATACATACATACATAATAGCAATCCATTCTTTTTCTAATTCATAGTTTGTACATGAAAAGACTAATGCTTCATCTTTTGTCTTATAGGGAGCTAAGTTACTGAAATTTTGCAGTGCAGACTTTCCATCAAGGCCTTTCTTGTGGAAGTGAGATAGATAGTCTAACACAGTCGTTTCCCTGTATTTCGGAGGATTATCTTCCGATAACAACTCCTTAATCAGTCCATAGATATCGAGTCCGGGAGAAAATACGTGACGAAAAAGCTCGCAACCGATGCTCTAGGTCCAACGGAGTTTGCCTGTACCCTGTCATTCGATGTAAGCTGAAAAACATCAACAAACCGGAAAGTAAATCTATCAGTCACATAGCTTTCAGAGTTGATTGTTGATTGTTTAATGTACTTTTTCAACCTGGACTTGCCTGCAAAAGATCTCCAATGTTAACAACCAAAGCCCCAGGGACTGGAGGCACATCAATCCATGATTTTCATGAACAACTTGGAGGCCACCAATATGGTCTTGTAGAAGCACCGTGAGGAAGCTACTGTCGGCATGTTCCATAGTCGATCCCGGCTGCGGACATTCCGGATGGTAATGGCACAGCTGACCGAGACCCTTTGCACGGTCTATCTTCAGCAGATGGTCAGGGCTCAATCCAAGCCCTCCTGATATTGTCTCAAACATCAAATGATCCAAGTTCATCATTCGGTCCGTGTACTCGAACATCATGTCCCTGTACCAAAGTTATACATACAAGTAACGAACAGTTCATCATCTCTATGCATATATATATATATATATATATATTACCTGAATGGTTCAGGCAACTCTTCTAGCTTAGGAGGATCAGGAGCCATGTTGCAATAAACAGTCTCTTCAGTTAGCTGCAGGGGCAGTAAGGAGATCGAAATTGATATTATAGACCACCTTTTTCGTATTATCACGAGTGTACTACTGTTTTTTAAGCTCATCGTCTCGCTCGAAAAACGTACCTACACAAACGTTCATCTCCTCTAGAGTACTCACAGGAATTCCATGGTTAATGATTTGGGGGAAAAAACCCATTCCTCTGATGCATTAAGGACTTGTTTATGATCTCGTAGCGAGTGCCGGGATCGTCCTTCACTCCTTGAAGATTTATGACAGGGATACGAAACTGGGTGGCACTTGGAACATCTGTTTCCGCAAAGGTATCCGGTGGCACATGAAATATTCAGGGAACCTCCGAAATTCCGGCATCTACGAGTCCTTTGACAGCGGCTTTGGTCTCGTCGAAAGCTTTGACTTCACTCGCTCGATCATATTTCAGTTCGAATTGGACTTCACCTGCGTTGGCTGCCACCATTTTTTCCTTTCTTGTTTCTCAAGGTATCTTCTTTGTAGAAACAAGTGAATGACGAGAAAGGGAATGTGAATAAATAAATGGGAAAGAAAAGATAAGAACAAAATGAGTGACGCTTACTATAGATAATCTAAAGAAAGAAAATGTATATGAAATATGTAGATTTTATGAAGCTACCATTAATACTGGCGTTTTAAATATTCTAAAATATCATAAAGTTATCAAATTATTATAAAATAATGCTTGAAATGATATATACTCAAACTATGATCCTTGTTTTATATTGGACCTTAAACTTTTGAATATTCCAATTTTATTCCCAAGCTATGACTTACATTCTGATTAATACTTTTGAACATTCCGATTTCATGCCCAAACTACGACTCTCATTCTAAATTGCTCTCCAAACTTTTGAATCTTACAATTTCATCCCCAAAGTCATCCAAATATCTAATTAGTTTCAAGCATGGATTAACCTAAATTTTGTTTTTTTTCAAACATACAATAATATAACTCGGCCTAAATATTTTATTAACAAAGTATGTGATTAATATATATGTACAGTTAGGGATGCAATTGAAATGTTCAAAACTTTTGGGGACCAATTTTGAATGAAGGTCATAGTTTGAGGATGAAATGAAATGTTCAAAAGCTTAAGGACTAATTTAGAATGATAGTCATAGTTTAAAGATGAAATTAGAACCTTTAAAAGTTCAAGGACTAAATTAAAAGAATAGTCATAATTGGAAGAGACTATTCTCGTATGTAATGGGATAAGGGGAATATAGGATAATAGACTGCCTCCGACACCAGTTAGAATTATAAATTGCCCACCGTGAAACTCGATCCCACGACCACAAGATTAAGAGCCTTGCGCTCTTACCAATTGAGCTGGACGGACAATTCACGTGCTGCAATTAACCTTAATTAAATTAAGAGATTATCATATCATATCGTAACATTATCAAATTAGTAGAAGAAAATTCAGTTTTTTGACTTTCAATCGAGTTGATTGAATAATTCGACCAATGGTCCGTGATGCACTAATACAAGCAATGCTCACCTCAAAATGCTCATCAATGGAGAACAAACAATCCAGGAGCATTCACTAGGGGTTCATTTTCGAAGGACGAAGATTGCTTCGAAACGCACCTAAATCGACTGAAACTTCTATCACATCTTACCCCGAACATCAGATGCGATAAAAGTCCTCGACATTAAACCATTATAGAGAACGGTTTTCGTGTTCTCAATCGTAAGTTGACTCACGGAAAGTGATTCAGGGCTTCAAAATGACCCCAAAGTTAACTCAGTATCTCTCTCATACATTAACATAAACAGGCAATATAAATCCAGGATTGAAGCAAAACCAAAAGATGCTGCAGATTTATAAGCAAAATTATCAAACCCTTTCTGAAAACTAAATAGAAAACTTCGTAGTTAACGGTATCGAACCGGCCAAGTAATATGCTCTTTTCCCCTAATCTTGACATATCAAAGCCATGATACAAGCGCATTTATATAAATAGATATGTGGGTTCACCAAGGTAGACAGAGATCGAACAAAAAACTAGATGTTCCTCTTCAAAATGTCTTTGTTTTTGGAGCCTTTTCTTGTGTTGTCTCCTAGGGATCGAGTTCTTCATGCCAATAAAGAAGAATAACGCCCCTAACAGCGCCAAGTTCTGTGAACGGAAGTTTAGTTAGAAAAATATATCTTGAAATGAATCGCCAACAAGAACGCCTTTTCCTTTTCGGAAAAATAAATACTATGAACTACAAACCTGTGTGAATTTGGTGAAAAGTATGCCAAATTCTTTCTTTTCTGTGTCATAGTTGTAGAAGTCATACAATATAGGAGTAAAAATGAGCTGCTGCAGAACCTACACGAGTAGAATAGTGTAATACATCAGATAAAATTCGTTGATAATTGAATTACAAACTTTAAAGAATACATAAATCCATAAGCGAACCAGGAGATAAGCTCCGATACTGCTGCCAAACGTGAAAAGGATGCCCCCGACACCTTTAAAGGCCACAGAAGCAGCAACTAGATACTTAATCTGTAAATAACAGCTCCAAGAGTAACAACTTTAGAAAAACATGATATATAAATATATTTCGCAGTGGTGAAATAAAGCAATCCTTACATCGAATTTTGACACTTGCACCCCTGTATGAGCTGACACAGTCTTTGCGAAGACATTAAATTTTGGTTTCAATACCTTTGCTGCTGGCCCTCCATCAACTCCAAATTCATTGAACCTATACACATGAACACTTAATGTAAGAATAGAAACAAGCAGGACACAACTTAAACCAAGTTCAAAATTACCGACTCATTATTTTAAGCTCAAGCTTAGAAAACAGTATGGTTGTGATCAAAAAAGAAGGCCCAAAGCTCCAAACCTCTATCATCTGCTGCTTTTATATCTCTAGCATATGTCTGACAAAAGCTTTCTTCAAAAAATGCTAATGTATCGTAATGTATCGCATCATATCCAATATAGGCCAGTACTTAGGTTAGCAAAACTAAGGGTTACCATCATACAGACTGAAGGTTCATACTCAAAAACGTCACAACTCACATGCAACTTAGTTTCCATGTGTCCATTTAATTAAACATATTGGTTTCATTATCTCAAATAACACTCCATGTATTAATTCCTGTTTTTACAATTAAATGGACACAGGCCAATTACTTGAAAGGCTTTTGGAATTTTAAGCTCCACCATCATTAAATAGGATAATGATCTCAAAACTATACTAGGTAAAAAATATAAACAAGAACCTTAATAATATAGCAAGAACTAAGAATGTGTCAAACAGCACTACTCGATACCCATAAAAGTCAGTTGATTTGGGAAAAGGGAAGGAAACCCTGCTTTCAGCAACCATTGTCAAGGGCAGAAAGTATCAAAACAACGCCTAATCTTAGTACAGTTAAGCACAATATGTACTTATGTGTGTCTTTATTATTAGTTGTTGAATGATAAAAAGGGGGCGGGGGGATTGCTCAAGTCACTTGTGTAGTCTAGCACAATGCCTTGGTATGCCTTACAACACGGTGTTGAGCAAGGTGTCATGATCCACCGCCATTCATTGGATACCATGCCTAGTCACGTAGGCATCACGATACCACAATCCGACTTACCTGTCAACGTGGCTCATTTCCAGCGTCGTACTTTTTGGGCCCCACAGATCAGTAAAGGTTTTGTCACCCCAATCCCCGTATACTCCTAACTCTTTGATTTGGGTAAAAGGAGATTCGAGCTTTGCTCTTTGAGCAAGTGATCATGGCCTAGCCACTAGAGCCAAATGCTTAGGCTCTATACTCCCACTCTTTAAAATCATACACCAACCACTTGAGCTAAGCTCGTGGTATTCATGAGACCTATAACTTATAATTTAAAAATCTTATAAGACATCATTAAGGATTAAGCACTTAATCATTGATTTTATTTCTGCGCTAAAAAGGGGAATTCAGCAAGCATACAAAAGATATATAAATATATATATATATATATGAGTTAGGATCCATTTACACAGTATAAAACACTTTTAATTTTACACATACTTAGGGCCATTGTATGAGTAAAAATAGGTTGAGATTAACAATGGGGAATGAGAAGATATTCATAATCTCGATGTCTATTATATTATATGTATATATTATATATATAGATACATACGTACAACTGCCATAAGGCTTAAACATCTAAGCAATTTAACAGGAACATCATTTCACACTTTTATATAAAGAAATTACCCTAAAAGACACCTTAATTGAACTAGTTTTTTTCCCTCCAACAAAGCTAGAAACTTTACTATATACAACATCTATTAACATAAAACCCTAACAATTATCAATCCTTTCAAAAAGAAAATCATTAAATCGACATAAATTAAACTCTAATTCCAGTTTTAACAGGTTGGAACAGCTCTGAGTTCCGAATCAGAATTAAGATCCAAACTCAAACAACCCCCTTCTTCTTTTTCTCGAGAACCAAACAGTCACCATCAGCAAAACATAAAAACGAAAAAAAAAAGAAGGAAAAGAAGTTTAGATCTGAAGTGAAACTTACTCTTGCCAAGCAGAGAGGAGAAATATCGAAGCGAAAAGCACTCTTCCGACGAAAGAAACAAACCCCATTCTTTTTTTCGATTAAAAACCTTAAAATTCAACAAAAAAAAACAATCGGAAAAAAAGGTTGTTTTTCGAGAAACAAAAGGAAGCACCGTCTGAAAGGGCGACGAGATCGAGAGATCGAGAGATACGAGAGCCGTAGAGGATCAATAAATGATTAAATTGGTTGTTGGTTCGGATCCGGTGTACTCAAATCGGGTCATCAAAGATCTGGATCCGTTTGATTCTGATTTAGGTACATTCCCACACGTGTCCTAATCTATTTTAAAATACATAAAGGGTAAATTATACTGTTACTCACTAAACTTTACACTATCTCATATTTTACTCATTGTACTTTTAATATTTCTATTTTATTCACTGAACTTTACAAATTGTATCGTTTTGCTCAATCTGCCGTTAACTCTCTAACGGTGGGATGATGTATCATTTTTTATTATTATTTAACCATCAATTACACTGTTCCTCACTGAACTTTACTCTCTATCCTATTATGTTCACTCAACTATGAAATAAAAATAGAAGGTGGTCGGATGCCACCATCGACCATCGTTGATGGTGGTCGTTCGGTCTCAAAATTCATGGATCGGTTCATCTCGACCCATTGATTCTGAATCTGGTGGTTTTTTCACCGGAAAATATCTCAAAATTCATGAATCTTGATTGAAATGTTTCGACTTCCTCACTTTCAATCTCCAATTCGTGGGCTTCAGAGCAAGTTCCGACAAAATAGAGGTTGGATTCGAACTCAAGGTGTCAAGGAAAAGCAACCCATGAAATTTAGGACCGAATGACCACCATTTACGGATGTCGACTGTGGTATCTGACCACATTATGTTTTTATTTTATAGAACGATGTAAATTACCCTTTATAATTTAAATTATTTATATTAAATAATAAAAAAATGACACGTCATCACGCCGTTTAAAAGTTAACGACAAGTGAGCAAAATGATTCAATCTGTAAAATGTCACTGACAAATCACAAATCATAATTGAGCGACGTGAAAATAATATCCACGAATATAAATTGTATATCCAAATCTAATCGAGGGTCCAAAGTAGGGAATATTAACATGATAACAAATAAAATGCATATTGATTAATCGTGACTATGTCAAATCAAACTCTAAAAAAAGATAAACGAAAATAACGGTCAAACAACCAAGAAAATGTATCATAAAGATTGAAAAAAGTGTCATAAACTCATAAGAAGAAATGTCATAAATGCATAATTATTAAAAATAAAAACAAGTAAAAAACGTTATAATGAAACAAAGAAAAATAATGAATATCGACGGTAGACAATAAACATCAAAACTGATGTCGTCGCCAATCATAAAGAAAAGAAAAGAGAGACAAACGGTGGCTAAGAAAAAAAAAAAGAAAAAAAATAGGACAAATCTTAGGTAGCTAAGTTTCTTTAGAAATAAATATAAACATATTTAAGAATCATTACCTTTTATAATTATAACTAATGCATTATTAACAGCTAAGTTAAATAATTTTTATATTATTATTAAATTGCATGAATCTTGAAATGAACACATTATTAATGTATGATGATCATCATTATTATCATCTCTTCTTCTTCTACTTGCGTGAGTCTAGAAATGAACCCATTATTAATGTATGATGATCATTATCATCGTCGTCTTCTTCCTCCTCCTCCTCCGATGATTTCACTGCCCAATATTACGAGAAGTCATATGATATATTAAAAAGTGTCATTGACCCTAATAAAGGGTTCATATTAACAGGAAAAGCGAAAAGTATTCATTTAGAAATAAGCAAAAACGTACCAGAACTACGCAAACCGAACCCGGGGCTCTTTCTTCCTCGACGATTTCGTCTATTTCAGTCGTATCAAGTGGAATTTTTCTGCTCGTAAGATAATCAGGCTTCGCACAATCCCAATGGACAACATAATCACAGGCAGAATCTGCACATTCAAGAGACAAATCTCGACAAGACTTGCCACATTTGTGGCAATTAGGACAAGAAAATGTCTTCCTGACAAAAGTTAGACGATGAGGGTGATCCTCTAATCCCCTGTAAATGCTTCCTGGTTTGATAAACGGGTAGCTTCCGAGAGCACAACCAGTATGAGCAGAAACATCACAGGTCGAACAGCGATAGAACCAACCACTCGAGCTTCTCTTTCGTTCACATATATCACAATACAGATATTGTGAATATGTATTGACCTCTTCATAAGCAAGTTTAAGTTTGTGTTCATCGCATCTGTGCCAAGCCGAGAGTGGTTGCCTTAAACATTGGATATGCAGACTGATGGTGCAACTCTTACATACGAAGAGACCGCGCCTTTCGACACCGCATGCGTGGCACTGTCCTTTGTAGTTACGATCGTAGTGCAGAGGGTGTTTATGTGCAGGATGTTTAATCCTGTAGCTCCTCGCTGCACAATGGAGGCAATAATGAATATCACACTCCTCGCACCTATAGGCGAAGCCGTTGCACTCGCTTTGACAGAGACCACATCTGAAAATATGATCTACAACAAGGATGAGAAATTGTTGACATATGTGAAACCACAGCCGTTTCTCCATAGGCGATTTAGCACATGTTTTGTGGAGAAAGAAATCGCATTGCAAACAATGATAAAACGGATTCGAGACGGGTAAGACACACCCGTCACAGTATTTCTCCATGAGATTGGCCCCATCAATATGTTCCTCCATGGGATTGGCCTTCAATATCAGATCATGGTCATGGCTGAAATGTCTTATTTTTGTCATTTCTCCATCTTCGTTTTTCTCAATGCAGATGATGGGATTAGTAGACCTTCTGGGCATTGTCAAATCACCAAGATGCTTTGGATCAATCACCTTGTACCACCCTTTCTTCTCTAAAGCACAGTTGACATGGACAATGAACTTACAAATGGAGCAAGAGTAACTCCCATACTCTACTTTCACTTCTTCATAACAAATTTTGCATTTACAATCCCTAAACTCATGAGGTTGAAGGAAATATTTGTGGAAAATGGGGTGTTCATGCCGGGGGATTGAGATTATGGGTGGCAGGGAAATGCATTGTTTATGGACTACAAGGCTGCATGTAGAGCATGTATAGGAAACAGAATTTCCCTCAACACCACATGCATCACAAATGAACGAGACTTGTCTCCACAACAAAGTGAAAGGGTGTTCATGGATGTTTTCTTTAATGGTTAGAGGAGGTGATGCACACTCGAAATGAAGGTTAAACCTGCAAGATGAACAACGATAAACGAATTTACCGCGATGGGTTTCTTTGCATGCATTGCAAGATGGATTGTTTTGGGATTCTAGAACGAGAGGATGCTTACGGTGGCAGGGGAGATCGAGTATAGAAGGTAACTCTGCACATGTTACATGAAGTGCAAATTTACAAGGTGAACAAGAATAGCTTAATGCTAATGGAGGCTGCTTTTTACGACATAGATTGCAAGGGAAACTCGAACCTTGAATACGAAACTGTAAAACAAGAGGATGGTTCTTATGAACGGGGTAATTGATTTTAGGAGGCAGTTCAACACATTTCTTATGCAGGTTAAACCCACAATCAGGAGAAAAGTACATAGATCCTAACAATGGTTCCCTACACACAAAACATTTGACCCTCTCAAGTTCTTTGTCATTGTCTTCAGCGGAGACCAAAGGAACTTTGAGAGCTACACGTTTAAGCTCTCCAAGTCTCTTTTTAGCAATGTTGAAGGACAATAAAGCACATTTGACATGAAGGTCTAACTTACAAGAGCAATGATAAAGAAATTTCTCACAGGTTTTGCCGCAGAAATTGCAGAAGGTTCGTCCCTTGTATGGTGACTTTGGTAAGAGAACAAGAGGGTGATCGCGATGGAAAGGGTGGCGAATCTCCGGAGGTGCCTCGGCACATTTCTTGTGGAGGTAAAACTCGCATTCCGTGCAGCTAAAGCTCGAACCATACACCATCTCCCCACACCTTGAGCAAGTAACCTCTTTGGTTTGATTGGTCGGCACATCGTTGAACACCATCGGGTGGTCGTGCCCGAAGCGTTGTGATCCCATCTCCATCTCCATCTCCATGTCTCGAGCTTTTGAAGTACGTAGCAAGGCAAGAGGAAAATGCATATGAGAAGGCATAAGCTATGATTTTATACTTTTATGACAAAAATATTATTCTTTCCCACCTTTGAAACTAACAACAATCAGTATTTGAATCAATTGATTCTATTACTTTCGGTAAAGATAAAGCAATAAAAGCAATCCCAGAACTATTTGCCTTGTCGACAAAGTAATGCTTATTATCTCTTGAATTACTCCGAGATATGCCATTCTCCCCCCTCTAATCTTTGCATCATTTTAAGTTTGCAAGTTTAGAATCAAATTCGCATCATCAAAATTTTTGTAGAATAAAAAATAATAAAATTTATCCAGAGTACAGGAAAAAGGTTGGAATAAGGCATGCATGCATGTACGTAATGCCGGTGTTCGAACCGAAATATGATCGGGCGAGTGAAATCAAAGCTTTCGACGAGACGAAAGCCGGTGTCAAAGGCCTTGTAGATGCCGGAGTTTCGGAGGTTCCCCGAATGTTCCATCAGCCACCTGATACCTTCGGGGGAACCTATGTTCCAGGCGCCTCCCAGTTCAGTATCCCTGTTATAGATCTTCAAGGAGTGCAGGGGGATCTTAATGCTCAGAAATCGATCGTCGAACACGTCCGTAATGCATCGAAGGAGTGGGGTTTCTTTCAGATCATTAACCATGGAATTCCTGCGAGTGTTCTCGAGGAGATGAAAGTTCGCGCACGTAGGTTTTTCGAGCATGACGATGAGCTCAAGAAACAGCTCTACACTCGTGATAATTCGAAGAAAGTTGTCCATAATTCCAACTTCGATCTCCTTATTGCCCCTGCAGCTAACTGGAGGGACTCTGTTTATTGCAACATGGCTCCTGATCCTCCTAGGCCGGAAGAGTTGCCCGAACCATTCAGGTATATACACATACCTATACATATATATACATATATATATACACACACAAATAATGATGAAGTGTTACTCAAATGTATGAATTTTGGCATAGGGATATTATGTTCAAGTACACAGATGGAGTGATGAGTTTGGGTCATATATGGATAGAGTCAGAAATACAGAATAAATTATATGTATGTATACATATTCAAATGTATAGGATGAAAATCCTCTGCAAGTACTTCATGATGATGAATGGTTGCTCTTTACAAAGTGAGGATAGTTCCTATGTTTTTCAAGACTGTTCTTCACTTGCTATAGTTTCTATTTTTATATGTTTTTGGTGCATTTCAATAAACAAACTTAAAACAACGACATATAAATACTAATATTATTAATTTGGTACTATCTTTACCAATATTTAAATATTAAAAATAAAAAATAAAAATTATATAACCAAACTTAAAAATTAGCTTATAAATGAACCCTCATCGTTCATTTATTAAATAAAAATATTTTTTTCATATTTATTTCTGGTGGTTAGTGAAGCATGTGATCATGCAGTAATCACTGCTGCCTTCGTCCCCAACGTGGTTGATTTCTAGCCACTCGACTGATAAACAAATTTCTCTACAACTTCATTCGATACTCTCAACAAAACAGAGAAGAAAAAAATGGTGGTAACCGACGAAACGAAATTCACTGAAGATTTCAACTACGACCGGAAAAAGGAACTGAAAGCATTCGCCGATTCAAAAGCCGGCGTCAAAGGTCTGGTCGATGCCGGAATCACCAAGGTCCCTCGTATGTTCATCGCGCCGCCTAACTCAACAAGCAGTCCGACGACTACCGAGAGAACCCAGTTCAGAATCCCGGTCATTGATCTAAAAGGCATCGGAGATGACCCGTTGCGGCACAACGAGACCGTCGAGCACGTCAGGAATGCCTCGGAAACATGGGGTTTTTCCAGGTCGTCAACCATGGTATACCTTTAAGCGTTCTCGAAGAGATGAAACATGGTGTTCGAAGATTTCACGAGCTCGATGTGGAGGAGAAGAAAGCGTATTACGCCAGAGATACGGACACGAAGTTCAGGTACACGAGCAACTTCGATTTGTTCACTGCTCCGTTTGCGAATTGGAGAGATACATGCTTCTGTATCATGGCTCCTGATGGTCCTAAGCCTGAAGAATTGCCTGCTGTGTTGAGGTAATTTCATGACTGTGCCACTATTCTTAAGGGTAAACTACAAATTTAGTAGCTGAACTATTACTTTTGTTCCATTTTGGTATTCAATTTTTATTATATTTAAATACATGCATAACATTTAGTTTACGCTTTATTCGGTACCCATCGGTATAAACTTAACGGTGATGAGATTGCAGGGACATTCAATTGGAATACACTAAGGAAGTGATGAGATTGGGGATTTGTCTGTTTAAATTATTGTCGGAAGCTCTTGGATTGAGCCCGAATTACCTAGAGGAGATTGGATGTTCAGAGGGACTTGCAGTCCTAAGCCATTATTATCCGAAATGTCCCGAACCCGAACTGACTTTCGGCACCAGTAAGCACTCGGACAACGACTTCCTAACGGTGCTTTTACAGGACCAAATCGGGGGCCTGCAGGTGCTGTATGAAGATCAATGGCTCGATGTTCCTCCTGTGACTGGTGCCTTGGTGGTCAATATCGGTGATCTTCTTCAGGCAAGTCTCACTTTCCAATCGTACAATCAATAATCATTATAACGTTGACTTTTGAAAGTTTAGTGACTAAAACGATCGTTTTAACACAGCTTATATCGAATGACAAGTTCAAAAGCGTAGAGCACAGAGTGCTGGCAAACCGTGAAGGGCCAAGAGTATCAGTGGCATCTTTTTTCACCACTGGTATGTTACCATCTTCAAGGGTTTTTGGACCAATTAAAGAGCTGCTGTCCGAACACAATCCTCCACGTTATAGACAGACAACGGTTAAGGAGTTTGTTTCTTACATCTATGAACATGGCCTTGATGGAACTTCCCCTCTTCATGTCTTTAGGCTTTGAAAGAAAAAAAAAAGCCCTTCTTTTTTCATAAAATTTGCTGATGGAGATCATTGGGTTGATATGTTAAGATTTCTGTGACACATTTGACACGTTGAGTGGGAAGAAGTAAGGAGAAATTTATGGGGATCGATGTTGAATTTTTCTGAGGGGTCAAAATGCATTTTGGATTTGGAATTCTACGTCTTTAAATGGATTAAACTGTATATTTTATATTCTAGGTGTCAAAATATAATTGTATCGTCATGAACTCTCTTTCGTTCTCTTTCGTTCTCCGACGTTGGAGTATTTTCTTTTAATCACTTTCGTATAAGTTTTATACATTTTTATTTAATTCAAAAAATAATACTTGGTCAATTTTATTTTTATTTAATTAAGATGGTTAGTAAGAATTAATTGTTGTTAGACTTTTTCTGTATAATCATTGATATCTGATTTATTGATCGACTAATCCAGATCGAATACTGTAGAGGTACGAACAATCCTTCAAACCCAATTTACTCCGTTCGCAATCACTATGATTTTTTACTTTTAACATATGGTTGACGTAACACAATGAATATATAAAATTAAAAAGGGTATATTACACAAATAATCATTAATATTTAAGTAAAATTTTATTTCTCCATTAAAATTTTAAAAATAACAAATTGATAAAACCATTTTATAGAATACTTATTATGCTCCTTTCTATTGCTCACAATAATTGTCTTAGTGTTGTAGATAACCATCCGCTATAAAAGTCTAACGTCAATTAACCTTTAATAACTACACCTTAATTAAATAAAAATGAATTGATCGTGGAGGAAAAATGTACAAAACTTAAATGAAAGTGATCAATCGTATAGTTTACTCTTTCTTTTAAATTTGGACGATGGAGAGACCAAGAAGAAGAATAAATGGATTATATCTCGATTTCATGCTAATTAGACAGTACAAATTATAGAGAGTAAGATCTTTGATTTACGAGAGGAAAAAAGAGAAATATTTTGATATTAGATACCTTGTAAATAATAACCAATGATGATCTAACAGTTATGAAGAAGGATGTCATTATGAAAAAGATAAAAGTAAAAAAAATTATGTTAATTTCATAAATAAAACATCTCATAATACAACGTGTATGTGTTGGGGTCCCTCTTCTATGAACGAAACGCACCCTTAATGATTGAGTGTGATAAAGACAGAGAGAGAAACCAAAAACTTTAGTGATAAAATTGACATTTCTAAAAGTTAGGAGAGAACAAAACAAAGCACGTTGAAAGTTGAACTATTATACATGTAATTTACCAAACTTATTTGAATTCAATAAATAAAACAGAATAATTAACTTAAAAAATTAAGATTATAAATTGTCATTAAAATAATCCTTTGACGCGTCTAACACGTAAGAACGGAATCACACGAGCCACATAAATTTAGGGTCAAATTCCTTTTGGGGTCCCTCTTCTATTCTCAGTTATGATGTTAGTCAAATTATAGTTTTGGTACTTGTATTGCTTTTTAGCATGATTGTCATAATCGAGTCGGACTAGACGAACCGATTGAACACGAAAAAAGAAAAAAAATAAAAATTTATGTAAATTATTGTAAACCATTAATAATTTGATTTTATTATTTTTGAAAAAATAATTCAACTAGTTAAATCGAAAATAGATGATATGAATTATTCAACTATTGATGTGATTTTCCAATATATTCTTTCTTAAGAATGACGTTGTTAAAATTTGTATCCATATTAGCCTATGAACTTATCAATTTTTCTCAACTTAGTCCTTCGAGTTGAATTTTTAATCCTTTCGGTGATATAACATGATACAATCTCTGAGTATCGGGTCTTTAAAAGAACTAAACTTTAATTTAGGGACTAAGTTAAGTAAAACTACCAAAGACTAATTCAAAACAAATTCAGAGACCAAATTGAAGAGGTTAATAAGTTGAGGGACTAAATATTGCTTTATGCCTTTTGACTCATCGTACATAGTAGGCTGTAAACGTGTCGAGTCGAGGTTCAATATTGTTGAGCTCGACTTGACTCGAAAACTCTGAAATAGAGCTCGACCAGACTCCAAAACTCGAGAGCCTAAAATTTTCAAGCTTGACTCGAACTCGAAACCATGAACTGAAGCTCCTAAAAGCTCGAAATAAAAAAAAAACTTAAATTTAACTCGACTGAAGTCTCAAACTCGAACTTGAATATTTAATACATGAAAATCTTATACTTCATTTTTAAAAAAACAGACACAAAAATAAAATCTTAATATATTATATTTTTGAGTTACTCGCGAGCTTTTTGAGTCGAATATCAAGTAGCTCGTTTCAGCTCTTTAAAAATTCGAGCTCTAGCTTGAGTCGAATATTTATCGAACTTTAATCGATTCGATCTCGAATAGCTCACGATCTATCTCGTTTTATTTGCATCCCTAATACCTACATACCTTATACCTCAAATTTAAGCAAAGTAAAAGGACCAAAATGTGCTAAACTTTTAGCCACTAAAAAATGGGTTTAGTTTAGGCCTGGTTAGGTATTGATTGAAACAGTTGAAATCTTGAATTGAAAATGGAAGTGACAAATATTTTTGGCTGGTATTACCATTATTGTCAACAATTCCGCTCGTTTTTAAAAAATTATTTTCTTGGTCCTGCCGTGCCGGATTCATTTTCAATTTTTTTATAGTCATTCTTCTTCTTCCACTTGTTCATGTCGTCGTTTTCCCTTTGCCTTTTCTCTGGGTTTCTGCAAATCCTTAATTCTGGGAGTTTTCATCATCTGATCTGACGATTTCAGTCTCTGGGTATTTCTTATTTCTCTTGAAAACAGTTTATTTCAACGAGATATGGGGATTTAGTGAAAGATTTTCATTGATTTTGGAGAGAGAAAATGAGGGCATTTCCTGGAACTCCAGGGACGTTGACAAGCCTGTTTTTGAGGATTATACAGTGCGTTCTTGCTGCTGGATCAATTGCTTCCATGGTTACAGCTCCAAGCTTCTTCAGTATCACTGCTTTCTGGTATTTTTTTCCCTTTAGCTATTTTATTGTTCTTCCTGAAATTATTTTCTGGGGATATGCTTTTTGGCTAGATTTCTTTAGTTTGGCAAACTTTAGCTAGGCAGATAATCTATCAACATTAACCTTTTTTTAGATGGCTTGATAACAAGGAAAACATAGGGGTGTTTAAAAAAATCTAAAATCATTAATCGTAACCGTTAATCGGTATAACTGTTATATTTAACAAGTTAATTAATCGAATCATTAATACTAAATAGTTTCGGTTAATTGAACCGTTAAAAATATGATTAACGACAATGTTATAGTTAATAGTTAATCGTTAATAAATTAAATTTATAATTAAATTTATTATTTATTATATTTTACATAAATTACTTAATATAATTTTATATTATTTATAATTTATATATATATATTTAATAAAATTTGTATACAAATAATTTAATATATATTTATTATTTTTAATTTTTATTTATTTGAAAATATAAAAGCATGCTTACATCAATATAATTATATGTTTATTATTAAATATTAAAATATTGGGAGATGTGTATACTTACATCGGTGTAAGTATGTGTTCAGTGCTACACTTTTTTATTTTATTTACTTACACAATTGTAAGTATGTGTTAAGTGTTATATTTTTTATTTTATTCACTTACACTGATAGTATGTGTTATGTGCTACACTTTTTTGTTTTATTCACTTACACCAGTATAAGTATGTGTTTAGTGATACATTTGTTTATTTTATTAACTTATATCGGTGTAAGTATGTGTTAAGTGATAAACTTGTTTATTTTATTCACTTACACTAATGTAAGTATGTGTTAAGTGATAAATTTGTTTATTTTATTCACTTACACCGATGTAAATATGTGTTAAGTACTATATTTTTTTAGTATGAATTATGAAAAAAATTCACAAATAATTGTAATAGGTTAACCTAAAACTGAACCATTAATAACGGTTAACCATTAGTACGGTTAAAAAATCTCATAATTGTTATAACGGTTAACCGACCGTTTAGGCTAAACGGTACGGTTAATCGTCCATGAAAAACCCTAGGATAAACTACATCATTAGTGATTAGTTTTTAAGTTTACAATATCGATTTTAATACTTAAATTTAAAATGTTTCAATTTTAACATTAAATTTTTCTGTTTCAATTTTAAAATGTTGTCTTTAAAGGTCCCGAATTCGAGCACGATGTCTGTAGGAGTATTGAATGTTTCTTGTCAAATAGTTGAGAGTCTTTCAAACATATATTATATTATAATCATTTCAGACTAATAAAAAAAAGTCAATTTAGTATTGATGTGGAGGCTGACATTCGATGGCGTGAAAGTCGATTTTTTAATCCAACTCATCATCTTTTTCATCAAAATTAGTGTTTTCGCTTATTTTCAATCGCCGAAGAAAACCAACATTTTTTGCAATTATCCTAAATATCGATAAACTCGTTTCATTCTCATCTACCACTTTATCGGTTTAAATTTCCCCCTTTTTTTTAAACTTATGAAATTAAACAAAAAAATCCAACTTTTTTGGGTTTTTGGTGTTTTCTCAAATTTGGAGGGTTTGTTCGAAAATTCGAATTGTGAGAAACATTATTTCAAGAATACTACGAACAACATACCTAGAAACTAGTCTCATCGGATTGCAATCGAAGGAGATCGGAGCATTAAAACGTCGAATCCTTAGATGGATTTTTGTTTATTTTAAGTGAGTTTTGTAGAAATTCAATTCGGTAGGAAGAAACAGGCTGAAGCGCAAACGTTTGCTATCGATAGGTAGGAAAATGGGGAAGGAACAACCACATCATCGGGTCGTTAACAATTTGAGGGTCCAATGTTCAAATTGAAATACGAAATAAAGTTCAGTACTAAAATTGAAAAGTTTTAAAGTTCAGTGGTAAAACTCAATACACGAGCTAAAGTTTAGTGAGTAACGGTATAAGTTACCCTAATAATAAATTAAGATCCAGTTACCGAATGATTCTCTCTTTTGAGGTTAGTAACAAGGCATTTCAAAGATATGCTTGTTTATATCATTTGTGAGATTGAAAGTATCTGATTTCTTGCAGTTTATGGTACCAGTGAGTTGAGTATATATTCTTTTATATGTTTTCCTATATATATTTGGAGGATCATATTCTGTTATATTATATATGTCCAAATATACGTTTGGTACACGTGTCAGACACGTATATGTCGAGTTCGAGTAACATAGATACAAGATATTAATGCTGGGAATCTCTTGCAAATGTCATAGATTGCCCATGTAACAGGGATTTCGGGTTCAGATTTAGAGTTTATATTTGATGCACGAACGGCATATACAACTTACATGGATTAGAGAAATGAAAGGGAAGATGGTAACTAAAAACTGTTGCTTTAGCATGAATGATTTTCTTAAGGAAATGAATCTCATCAGGTTACGTTAGATCATCTTCGGGTATCCTTTCTATTCTCGGAGGGACGGTATTAAGATCAAATATACGAGGACTAGATCGTGCTCCGAATATGGTAGGTTTAAGTTCATGATGTTGGTCTGATGCCAGTCTTCTTTTTCTTGCTCAAACGAATTAGCTAGCGGATACTCAGATAGTTTATGCAAGTATCGAATACGAGTTCTGTAAATTTTGTTATAGTTATTATGCCTTGTGATCAAATATTTTGATCTTTGCTGCATATTCAAAGAACTTGCACGTATGAGTAATCCATTCCTATACTCGTTTGTGGAGTAGTTAAAATTTTGTTATTTGAACCCGAATGTGAGTGTCGAATATAACGATTTCGATATTTTGATTATTGGACATGTTTTTGTGAATGCTGAACCTGGGAAATTTGAAGCTTTGTTTTTGAATACAACCTTTGATTGTGCAGCTACCTTATTGCTTCAATGGGGTTGCAAGTTGTTTGGAGCTTAGCACTTGCGTTACTAGATGGAACCGCGTTGGTGAAAAAGAAGGTCCTCCATAACCCGGTTTTAGTCGGCCTTTTTGTAGTCGGAGATTGGGTCAGCCTCTTTCAAACCTTCGAGCCCTCTCGGTTTTGTTATTCCAAACCGAAACTCACACCGTTTTCGAATGACACGCAGGTGACGGCTTTGTTGGCTTTGGCCGCAGCATCTTCCTCGGCAGGCATCGCCGTATTGTACTTCAACGACTTGGGAAACTGTGGATTCGGAGAAGAATGCCAAAAATACCAGTTGTCAGTTGCCATGGCGTTCCTTGCTTGGGTAGCAATTTCGACATCATCGTTGATAACGCTATGGCTATTCGCGGCCGGTTAAACCGATCGTTGTACCGGCTCTCGGTTCATGCTGTCCGTAGAAAAAGGAGAAAGAACATGGTGAACATAGTGTGATCATACTCAGCAGCATTGTTGTATTCCCTTGTAGGTATCATTTTTTGGCTTCCGGTTTGGTAAATAAAAGCACCAAATTTGTGAATTTGGGAAGTAAATAGATATGGGAAGTTCCTCCTTCACAAGCAAGCAAGCTGTATCACCCGAACAACTAATTATTTCGAATTCGGGACCGTATTCGATCGATTCATGTAAAGCATTGTTATCAGAAACAGAACGTATCGGTATGTCAAATCAGTGATCCGATCGATTGAACCGACGAGATAAAAGTTTCAGCTGCATACGTATTTTTCTTAAAAAGATAATAAGCCATCAATTTATCAATGGTGTGTGATCTTTTGACGTGCAAAAGGACATGCAGTTGCTGTTTCAGACATATTCTAAAACTTCCAATGGTTTGGGCATCATGGATTTGTAGCTGGAGATGGAAATATGGCACAAAACAAAACACGGTGACTATCAAACCTAAGTTGTTGTCGTGTCAGCCTACTGAGAATATATGCAATTTTGGACTCACTAAGGCCATGTATGAAAGCAAGGGGAATGAGCAGAGAGCGACTCGTCCATTAGGTAGTAGTAATTCGGGTCGGGTCAAATCTACTCGAGTTACAAAAACATCATTTAAAATTTGAAACTTTTACAAGAGTAGTCGTCCCTGATACTCTCTCGATCCATCTATGTCTGTAATAGTACTCGTAAGTCAGTATGCCTTCAGAATCTTTTTAGTCATTAACAACGTTCCCTTTGACCACTAAATTGATGACTCGAATTTGATTCTTTCAATAATAAAACCGATTTAAATATCGTAAAAGAAAAATGTGAATTTATGTTAGTTTCATGCCGTTTTCTGCAATTTGTATCTTATACAAAAGAAACACAATCTAATTTAGACATATTTTCATGTTTATAAGCTCTGATCACACCATTATCTGGGATCACTCAACTTACTTACAAGCTCTGGGTTTGGTTTCTGTTTGATTCCATGGAAAACTCCTACTGGGAATTTCGAAGTTGATCATAGTTCGAATCAGGTGTTTACTATTCTCTTCTTAATCGATATGTCTGATAGTATATTAAGTTAGTACAATTTTACTGTTCTTATAAGCAGTAATTTCTCGTGACGCTCTCATCACAGATTTTACGTGGAAAAATTAAATTCATAATTAGATCTAAAATGTTCGTTCATTTATCTTCTGATCCGAACCCGAATAACACGGGATTCGTTTGGTTTTTCATGTCACTGAAGCAGAGATATTGACAACAAATTTCATTCGGTAGCATAATTGAATCAAAGAATCAAGCATCACTTGACTGAAACATGAAGTAAATTGACAGCAGAATTGCTATGAAACCATTAATTTTTATTTTTAATTTTCTTGTTCCCAATTTCTCTAATTTTACCACCTCTCGTGGTTATTCGAACCAAAGAATTTCATGGAGAATGAGCAAATTATCCTCCTTTTTTTGAGACATTTGCTCAGGGAATCAAAGGGAATTTGAGATGGAATTTCTAATCAAGAACATGATACTCGACAACCACATGCAACGGTAATGGAGACTAAAAAGAACAATGCCATCACTTTTGCTATGTGTACTTATACTCGGTTTTGCTTCCCCAGTTTGCGAATAAGTCGAAACCGAGAAGAAGAGAAGAGAAAAGTAGTGAAATAAGCAACGGCGAAGTTATGGCGGAAAAACCCGGGTCGTACTCCGACGTTTATCGGAGGTTCAAGCCTCATATCCTCATGGTGCTTAGCCAGTTTGGCTACACTTTCCTTTACATCTTCACGGATGCCTGCTTTAATCATGGTATGAACCCTCATGTCCACATTATACATTTTGCGATTCTCACTCGTTTCGTCTTCGTTATGGAACTGTTCGGAATATTCGAGTTGTATGCTGATATGTTTTACCTGTTTCTTTCCTTTGGTGCAGAAAAAAGAGGCCAAAGCTTACTTTTGCCCTTTTTCTGGAGATATTTGTTCTCTCCATCCTGGGGCACGTTATTCTCCGACTCTTTATTTTTCTCGAAGTATTTATATCCGATGCTCGTGTCTGATTAGGCTTTCGTTTGTCCGATTCCGACAGGGTGAGTTTGACCCTCAACATGTACTTCGTTAGCCTGAGGTACATTTCACCAACATTCCTTGCAGCCCTGGTGAACACCATAGCCTCTTTGACATTCATAATCGCGGTTCTATTCCGGTTAGCGATCGAACTTTGGTCGATAAGTTAGCAAATCTTCAATGACTATAATCATCATCCAGGATTCGACTTTGATGCAGATTGGAGGTCGTTAATCTTTGGAATCCTCGAGGAATAGCCAAAGTTGTTGGCACGTTTGTCTCATTGATCGGCGTAACGACGATGACATTGTACAAAGGCCCTGCAATAAAATCCATGGGGACAACCCTGGTCCATATCCAAGGCAAATACCCCATTCATGAGAATTGGTTGAAGGGTTCGATCCTTATTGTTTGCAGCTGCTTAACTTGGTCTATATTGTACATCATGCAGGTAAAAATATAACTTCAAAAATTGCAGATTAGAAATGGATAAAACATACTTATGATGCCCGAAATTTCGTAGGCATTTACACTGAAACGATATCCGGCACCGCTGTCGTTAACGACGTGGATGAGCTTCGTCGGAGCAGCACAATCGGCGGTTTTCACCGTCGTTGTGAATCATGAACCGGCTGCTTGGAAAATCGGATTCAATATCGATTTCTGGGCTACTATATATATGCTGTAAGCAGAGTACTAATCAACAGTTATCTGTTTTTTTTTCCCATGTAAATTTCGTAACCGCGAATCATCCGCGACAGGGAGTGGTTTGCTCCGGTTTGATAATCTACATTCAACTGTGGTGCACCGAGGAGAAAGGGCCGGTGTTCGTGACCATGTTCAATCCCCTCTCAACACTGCTCGTGGCGCTTCTCGGGTACTTCGTCCTCGGCGAAAAGCTTTATATCGGCAGGTAATGTTGTATGCAACATCCCGTTTCAGCTCGTGACACTTCCGAGTCGAAGCAGATACTGAAAGCTCCACTTGTTTGTTGTTTTCAGCATTTTAGGGGGAGCAGTTGTGATCGTTGGCCTGTATCTGGTCCTGTGGGGCAAAGATCATGATCAGGAAGCTCAAGTCGGACCGGACGAGCCGTCGTACTTGGCGTACGACCACAAAATCGACGGTAAAGCGAATAAAATCGTTGCAGCTGAGAAGGAAGGAACTCAACCAGAGAACCATGAAGAATTCCCCTATGCCATGAAGACCAGCATATGTAATTTGATTACAAGAAGAATCCCAGAAATTATAAAAATGGGAGAATATGAGGAAATTAGATAGTTTTAAATACATGATCTGTAAATTAATGTTCTAAATTCCAGCCTGCTTCATCCCTTCAAGCATGAAATTCTATGTTGTCTCTCCCTTATGCCTGCTCTTTCGTACTAAATTTATGAGAATATCCAATTGTTGACTAAATTTATAGCAGGCTTAATATAAAAATAAGGACCCAAAATATACTTTAAATTGATTTTTGGTGTCTAAATTTTTTTTTCGTTAAAAATAGCATCTAATATTTTATCCGTTACATTTTTAATATCTATAATTAAAAAAAAGATCAATATGTGATACGCGTCACGTGTACATAAGTGATGATGTGATGCATATTACATATGCATAAGTAATGACGTAATAAATATTATGTATTCATAAATGAATGACCTGACATTTATCATGACATATAAGATTTGTCAATTAACGAAAAGCGAAATGCTTAGAACTAAAATGTTAAAAAAAGAATTATAATAAATATTTGGATAAACTACACATGTTACCACTAAACTATTACCTCTTTTCATTTTGACCATCGACGTTTTGATTTGATCAATAAGACCACACAACTATCTAATTGTGTTAATCAAGCCACTATCCATTTATATTTAACGGAGGTAGTGACGTGATAGTTAAAAAAACTTGGTATAATTTCATATTCGGTCCTTAATATTTATAGATTCAATCAATTTGGTAATAATTTAATTCAATTAAAATAAATTTAAGCTCCAATAAGATTGTGACACGTGTCACGTGTTTTCTATAATTTTAAATATTGTTATTGGCAGAAATAATTAAATGCGAGATTTGAAATAAAAATAAATTTATAAATTTTATATTACAACTATTTATTCCCACAATCTTGGGACAATTTTCAGCATTCAGTGGCAAGTTCATTCTAATTTTATGCATAAGCTGTTTAAAAAGAAAAATAAATTTTAAAATATAAAAAATTATAAATTGATATATGAATTATGTTGAAGATTGTTACCAAGTATGGTCGTTGGCTAAGTGCTTCAGGCTTGCTAAATATCCTCAAATCAGGTAGTGACACGTGTCACGATCTAAAAACGTCGATGGTTACAATGAAAAGAGAAAATAGTTTAGTGGTCACCCATAGAATTTATCCTAAATATTTTACCAAACCTCGAGATGAATTTTAACATTATGCACGGTTAGATTGAGTTAGTTGTATCATATGTACTTAAACTATAATTCCCATTTTTAGAATTGATCCTTAAGTTTTTTAATGTTTTAATTTCATCTCTAAACTATGATCTCATTTTAATGCAGTCCTTAAAATTTTAAATTTTTAATTTCATTATTAAACTATGTCCTTTTTAAATTGATCCCCAAACTTTTGAATATTCTAATTTCATCCCTAAATTCATCATGATATATAATTTGTGTCAACCTTACTTTAATTTTTTCCTCAACATATAATAATATAACTTGGCCTAACAATTTTGCTAACAAAGGATGTGATTAGTATATACGTATAATTTGGGATGAAAAAAAATGGTCAAAAAGTTTGGGGATTAGTTTAAAATGAAGGTCATAGTTTGGGAATGAAATTAAATTATTCAAAAGTTTGAGGACTAATTTAAAATGATATTTATAATTTAGAGGTGAAATTAAAAGATTTAAATGTTTAAGAACCAACTTCTGCAAATCAATGGTTGAATTTCAGCAAACTAGTCATTGCAGCCGTCCACTAACGAATGGTTGAATTTCTCTATGAAAATCAATCTTCCAAGAAAATACAATGGCAGGGAGTGGGACAACCATAGCTATACATTCAAATTTCAAACAACATTTATAGGGATTTTCGTATGACGGGTATGATCTGACTCGGTCTGATAGGGTTAAATAATTTTTAAAAAATTGTTTAGGGTTGGGTTAGATTAGATTTTTTTCCGATGTGAGACCAGGTTGGGTCGGGTTCAAGTGGATAGTGAAAAAAAATTTCGACCCGTCTGGGTATGATAAAGTAATTTATTTAAAATTATTATTATTTTTTAATTAAGTCTTTATTTATACCAGATTGGATTGGGTCGAGTCGGGTCGGGTTGGGTTAATACTCTAAAAATTTGAGTCGGATCAGAGTCGAGTGAAAAATATATATTTTTTGGGTCAAATTGAGTTAGATGAACGATATATGATTTTCGGATCGGTTCAAGTCGGATTCGAGTGGAAGATATATATATATATATATATATATATATATATATATATATATTTGGGTGAGATCGGGTTGACCAAAACCCGTCCCTAACCCGACTGGTTGCCATCCTTGATCATATATGGAGAAATATAAATGATGAAAATTCAAAATGACCCAAAGATTATCCTTTTATGCAAACATGTACATACCAACGGTGTTTCTGTTGAGTTTACTGAAGAAATCTTGTTCCAGTTGCAGAAAAAAATATGCATATCCTTTCTTATTTGGCTCCAAACACATATCAGTTTATCACCCCCTTGGACTTGCCACCTTTGGTCAAGTTGCTCCCTTAACATTTTTCCCCTCAAATTAACCCTTAAACTTTATAAATTTGATCAAATTGGCCCGAATTTTCTTTTGGTCAAATCGTTTCTATGAACTTTGAAAACATAACATGAAACGATCCCAAAAGTTAACTAGTTAATTTTTTTAAATTGGAGTTAAAATCACTCTCCTCTGTCGATAATGTCACCACCTTCGTGGTCTCTGTCGATAAAATATTCAAAAATTAACAAAATCAATTTTTCGGACCGTTTGTGTCATATTTTCAAAGTTCATGAGACAATTTAAATAAAAGAAAATTCCAGATGCCAATTTGACTAAATTTATAAAGTTCAGCAGCTAATTTTACAGCAACATCACCCGCTACTCAACTTGATATCCACCACCCATCCCGTATCCATCTATACTTGTTTATACCCCACACCCACTACTCAACTTAATATCCACCACCCATCTCGTACTCATCTATACTTGTTTATACCCGCCTGACATCAACATCAATTCTAAAAGATTGAGAATTTGAGACAGGAGAAACGATAGTCTTCAATTTTAAAAGTATTTATATCCTAACATTTGGTTAAATTACAAGTCATGTCCTATGAAATCTTAAGATTTACAGAATAGTCTCTAAAATTATACCTAACTGATAATGGTTCAAAATGTATATAGTGGGTAGTTAGTGGGTGGGAGGATGCAGATAGGTAGGTCTCAAACCCATCACCTACCCACTACCCACGAAGATATGACTTTTTACATCCACACCCGCCCACTACCCATTAAACTTATAGTCATCCCCGTCCCAATAGGAACGAATACAATACGAAATCCACGAAATTATACCAGTCTACCGCCCCTAAATCCGGTTGGATTGTTGATCCTATTTATCATTTGGTATTAGTTGTCGAATACTAAATTTGGGGTTTTTACAGGCTGGAGAATTCATTGTTGTTAGAGAAGGAATAGGACCATTACCAACCAAAAACCAAACCCTAATATTCTTTTCTTCAACAACCATAGCATATACCATTATTGAACAATAGAAGTTGGTACCTTTATTATTCTCTCAATTGAAAAACAGTCCTCTTTTCCCACCTTAATCAATTGCATGGGGCCTCCTTTTTTATGTCTTTGTCTCTTATCTCAAAGCAAATATGAGACAGATGATGTATCCAATCAGGCAAAAAATATGTAATTAATTAACAAAAGCAGAAGGCAACTTGTTTAATCACTGTCTAATTATGTTGATTAACGTGATGATAAATGAACAGGGAAATGTAATTAATGAGTTGTTTCTGAAAATAATAATAATAATAATTAAATAATCTTTGGGATTCCGAAAAAAGATTGGTTTTTTTAAACAATGAATTATGATGCATTGTCGTAGGTGTGAATCATTTGAGAACAAATTGGACCAACCCTGTAATAAAATAATAGGATAAACCACCTGTTTTGTCATCTAAATATTATTTAGTTTATGTTTTGGTCACTAAACTATTATCATTCTAAATTCATGCATAATGTTATGTTTTGGTTCTGTTCTGGTGACCCACCCTTAAAAAAAAGAACAATAATGTTTACTTATATTTTTTAAGTATTTTTTAATGTTGTCGTGACATTACCTTATGTTTACACGGAAAGATCATCATTAACTTTTTAACAGTATAATGCCAATATTAGCACCCCCAACGTTTATCGAAATGGTAATTTTGGCCCATATTTTTTAGGGCATTTTGGCCTCCAACATTCTATTTTAGGGAAAAAAAAGTCTCCAACGTTTGATTAAATAGTTACTTTGTCCCTTAGTATTTTTTTGAAGTATTTTGACCCCAACGTTTTATTTTAAGGTAAAAAAAACTCTTATTTTAGACCCCTAATCATTTGTTAACTAGCTATTTTTATCCACATTGAAATCTTTTTGCTCTAAAACGAAACATTAGGGTCAAAATGCCCTAAAAATAATATAGACTAAATTGACTATTTAATTAAATGTTAAGAGTACTCTTGACATTATGCATTTTTTAATGGATGGTAACCAAAACATAACGTTAGGTATGATTATGAAAGAATGATAGTTGAATGACCAAAACAAAAATTAAGTAATAGGTGGAAGACAAAAATAGGTAATTTACCCTTAAAAATATTTAATTTTTTAACCCTAAGGTTAATATTTAGGGCTCCAAATATACAGGTAAAACAGCATTTTTTGACCCTCTGGCATGACCGAAAGAGAATAAAGATCTTCTCACAACTCTGCTACTGCAGCCTTCAATGGGGCTAACCTCATTGCCTTGCCTGTTCTGTCTCATGGCTTCTTGAACTGCTAAATACAGCTGCCGATCCGCCGATGAATCCATTGAAATCGACCTCCTTATTGGCTGAACCGCCGCAAATTCTCCGTTCTTGTCTCTGGTATCGATCCATTTCATCCCCCATGCTCGTCCCTTTCAGCAACTTTCTTCCTTGTTTCTTCATAGGTGAAGGACTCAGGGAAGTACTAGACCTAGTGGATAACTCATCAGTGGTACTATTATTATGGCTTAATTCGATCACTACATAATCTTCATC